TGCATGCTGTTCATAACTTATGCTGCCCTACCATCCATGTGGATTCACAAACTTATCCAGCCCATGCTATTTTGGATGCTTTATTTACATCCAGCTCTAACCTGGTACCGTGGACTGAGTGTCTGGGAGAGGCTGCCATGTTCCAGGGAAGATACCAGAACTGTGGGAGTGTGATTGTGTAGCTGCCTCCAGACTGTCCATCAAGAGCTGGATGAGCAGTGCCCAATTTCATGTTCAAATCAGTTCACTGCAGCCAAGTTTTAACTCACATTTCTTTCTGCCTGTGACCAGAGCCAAGAAATTTCCTTCTCCACTCCCCAAGCTTCTCCCCCTTCACATCTCCCCCCCTTCTTTCAGGGCTTATTCACGCTTGTTCATCAAGTATTTGCAGGGGAACAGCTGTGCTGCTGATACAATCAGCCAGGCAGCGCAAGGTGACTCAGAGCTGGCAGGTCACAAAGAGGCAGCAAAGCACAAATAGCAAGTGCTTATTTAAAATTAGTTGTGGTCAATATATGGACTTAAAAAATTTACCCAAGACAATAGCTGGATAATTTCAGATAACGTGTACATCTGAGAAAATTGTTCTCTGTTGGTGGATATACTCTGAAGTCACATTGATCAAATGACTTATGAATTATTTATCCACCTGTGCTCTTTGCCTTAAAAACAGGCATTATTGATTTTGCTTCCTATATCATATTATGGAATCAAAATATAGGAAAAAATAATGCCATGACTCAAATGGCATGGAAGCGCCCCATCAATGTGCATTTATCTGTTCTATAATGCAGAGAAAGATGTAGAGAGGTGTAACGGCAAGTTAGAAAGTGATTCTGCCTTCACTGGCATCTGCAAAACACTGTAAAGAGAATCTTCCTTTAGCTACAGAATGCAGTCTGGATTTTGAACAGCAGAACACCGCCATTTTGATTTAGATTCAAAGTGTAAGTATTCTACTCTCATATTCCTGCATCCAAAAAAAAACCCTCTATTTGTGTATATATCAAAATTGAGACTTAAATATTCAAGGTGAACAATAGCGAAATGGAGTAGTTACATTGCTGGAATAACAGAAATAGCCTGGGGAAGAATACTCAAACTTCAAACAGAATTTCCTGGGAAAAGCTGAGAATTTTGTTTCTTTTTTTACCACTGAACTATACAGAGAATGATAGGCTTCACAAGGGGAAGAAACAACAATATCATAAAAATAACAACTTACAGTCAAGAAAAATAATAAATACTAAGTGCTTTGTTGTACACTTAAGTTATTCAAGTTAACAAACTTCTGTGGGTTTTCTTCCCCTTCTTATTAATACATTATTACAACAAAAATATTGTGATCTAAGGTGGACAACACGAGCTCCTTTTTTAAGGCTAGGCACAAAATTACTCTTAAGCCCTTCAAACAGAAGAGCTAGGGATTTCCCATGGGTTCCTCAGTCCATTAATTTCCCTGTCATTCCTATCCATTTTTTTCATATCTTCCTTGGACTTGGTGGCAACAGAATACTTGCAAGGCTCCAAAGTACCATTGTCAAAATAACAGATAACAAGGGCAAAGCTCAGCGTCACCTTGTCCCAAATGATACCTGATCAGAAGATCTTCTTATAAAAATCATGCATTTTACTTTTAGTTATGTGACTTCTTTTGACTTCAGAGAGAGTTGCAAAACCTGTGACAAATGCTTGAACTTTCTAATTTTAGTGGCTTTACACAGTAGAATTTGGGAATCACCACTCTGAAACTGCTTCCATCTCCGGTTATCAACACAACAGGCAAAATACAGTAAAACATTTATAAAAGTGTTAATCTATGGTTTCTTTCAAATATTTCCATTGCATTTCAAATTAATACCTTTTTTAATTCAAAGTGAGTCTCAATAGTGCCGAGGACTTCTCATTACATGACACCCTATCAAAATTTGCTATCTTCCTCTCATGTTCATGTGTTATGTAGATGAGTAACACAGCTACTGGTCTTCCAACATACTCACTACATGGAGAAAAACAGTGAAACATTTCGCAAGATGTTTTTTTCCATACCAGCTCATCTTAAAAACTCTACCTTTAAAATAAAATATTTATCTGCAATGAAGCTAACTGACTTCCTATGACTGTCCTGCCTTTAGCTACAGCCAGGGTTTATTAGGACGTCACTCTTAACACACAGTATTATAGAAGCTTTAAAAATAAACCATTTGGTGATGCATGGAGTTATGGCATCTATGGAGGGGAACATCTCTGCTTACAGGAAGCCTTTGATGAAATAATAATATGGGAGACAAACTGAGTACTTTTGTCCTCTATCCCCGTTCCCTGCTCTGGAGTAAAATCTATCCTGTGTGGAAAAAAATCAATACATATATTTCTTCTTTCAAATCACTGCTGGCAAATTAGATCCACATTTCTTTGAGAGAAATTGCTTTAGTGAGAAGCCTCTCTATCAAAGGAGATTTCAAATACCTTGTGTTTCAATGTTTTTCATGTGTGCTTATATAATACATTTACTATATAGGAAGAGTTATACTCTGTACTATATTTGTTGACATAACCTATAGGTATCTTAGTAGCATATCTCATATTTTGAAAGATATTTTGACTACATGTGCTTATTTGGTACAGTTTGGGGACTTCAGATGTTGTATTTGACATATAAACAGCTATGAATGATGACCAAACTTTCAAACACGATATATAAAAAAATTACATTTTCCACAGCCCTTGCTGATGGATGGTGGGGTATAAGAACCTCTAATGGAACTCACTGATACTTGAGAAGATGCAGGCACCTCAGTATGCAAAGATAGTAAAAGACTTAACTGTTGACTGAAATCGCCTTGTATAGAGAATACCTGGTTCTCTCCTGCGGCCTTAAAGCCACTTAGAAAGTGTCATAGTGACATAGCAGAGAAGCAGCAGAAATAATCAGGCCAGCCAAAGCTCTATTCACATTACTCATAATGGGATCCCTCAGCACACAGACATTGAATTTCACAGGCATGGATGAGTAATTTAAAATTACTGTCCTGTTCAGCTGAACCCAGGACAATTAGTTATCATTTTGAATGTATTGTCCTATGATGTGAGATCATTTTCAGTGGGTATGGGATTATGCAGCTATTACATTTAATAAGTTTACATCTTAGAAAAGCTTCTTTTTCTTCTGACAAGTGGGTAGGAAGGCACCGTGCAAGACAACCTAAGGGAAGCCTTAATTCTGCACATTTAGTGGCAAATTAGTCATAATAACAAGTTGCCCTAGAAACTTGAAATACAGCCTGAAGAAGAATTTACCACATATTTAATCATAAAATTCTTCTTTTCTTCCTATTGCCATGAAGAGCCACAGCTGAGCCTTGGTGATGGCATGCTATTCCCATCTACAATGCACCCCCACTTACTGAAAATGAGCATCTGCACTGACACTGAAGTGCAACCCCAGGCTTTGGTAGTTTGGGTTGAACGCATGAGATGAGAGGGAGGAGAAGGCTCAAATAATTTTGGAGCTCATTCAGTTGATCTGAAATTTTACCTGCTCATTGTTTTTCCAGGTGTTCATTTGGTAGATGATGGCTATTAGTCCCATGGTCTTTCCCCATAGTCCAGGGTCACTGAAAGGAATTTATTCAGAGAGAATTAAGGCTCTTCATCCATGAGGAGAAGCTGCGAACAGACACCCCATCAACAGTTAATGGGCCCTGCAGAGGAGCAGGGAGTACAGCACAGTCAGTTGGAGAAAAGTGGGTTCTAAAGGCTACATTGTACTCAAGGACCAAATTCTTAAAAGCAAGGGAAAGTGTAGAGGTAAGTGCCATGGTTTGGAGCTGCACTAAGTGGCCTGAGTAATTCTTGCTCACCAAAGGCTGTGAGAAGAGTTCATCACTGAAGTAGGTTGTCAGCACTTTCATTTCCATGCTTCTGCCTCTGTTCCAGCCCATGCTCCTTGGCTTCTCAGTTTTTTGCATTAATGACACTACCAGTATACAGTTACATTCAGCTTACTAGGAAAGCAGATAAGTTCAGTTATAGTTACATCATTAACAATCAACAAGTTTTCATCCTGTGTCCATAAAGACCTGTCAAGGTAGGTACAGACTAAATGTCTTTACCTTATTTATAAAAGGTAAACATTAGTTTTCATTTTAATGTCAAACTAATAAAAGAATGAATATCCTTGGATAAAGAAATTCTCCACTGATGTCTCAGGCTGCAATGAAATTTTGCTGAAAGCCAATCTATTTCATACTGAGTTTTCTTAAAATTATTCCACATCAATTGGAGGCAGGAAAGATGAGTAAAAAGGCTGGCAAGATATTTGTGCTGTCTTCTACGGGGTGTACTGGGAACAACTTCTTCAACCATCAAATAATGTTTTACAGCTTCTGAGATTATATTACTTCTCCTTGTCAGTCACAAGTACAGGAAAAAAATAGAGCTCTAGTAAACAGAGATGATGGGGATTTACAGGGCCATTCAAATAATACATAAACAGGGATTGAAAGACTATAGGCATACAACAATGTTTCAGAAAATGTTTTTAGATATTTAATAGTACCCTTTAAATATTATTTACTGGCATCCCCCTAAGTATTCTGTTTATCTTTTCTGATACTTTCTCCTCTTTTTTTTTTTCTCTTTTAGGTGGTTTATTAATACAGTATTTGACAGAAGTCACACATCCTTCCCCTATCATTACATTGTTTTCTTTTACTTGGATATTATTATATTTCAATCTGTTTTGGAAAAATTGTTTTCAGCTTATCCTCCAGTTACCATAAGTGAGAAGATGCATTTAAATAATGACAAGTTTTGTAATATATGTTTATAGAAAAATCTGACCTCTCCTACAGTATATAGAGAGAGTTATAATAATGGCACCCAGTTTTGGATAAAAAAGTTTCAGAGCGTTGTGAAAATAGGCTGCATAATTTAAAAAAAACATTAGTGTTAAACAAAAAAGTTAAAATTTCTTAATGAATTTCCTAATTTTATTTATAAAATCTGTATAGGAAAAGTAGAATTTTCAAAAGCACTCAGCTTTGGCTATTTTTCAGCATTCCTTAATTTATGGGCACCTATTTGGATATCTTCCAGTGGAAGTTCTCTAGAAAGTATGCAAACATGCTAACAAATGGTTCTCAAGGTCTTCTAAAAGTAATTTGTAAATGCCCAAGGTCCCTGGTTGAAAATTACTAGTCTATTCTTTTGTCTGCTACAACAAATCTTTACATTCTTAAAAACTACTAGTACTTTGTTTCCAAAAAATGTTTAACACAAATATTTCACTGATTATTATATGCAGTAATTTAGTGGCTTCCTTATTAATGTGGTCTTATTAGCACAGTAAAGAATGTAACTTCAAAATACTTTTAATACTGACTGCCAGTGCATAAACGTATCAGTAGCATAAAACCAGCCATAAGAAAAGCCAAATGAGTCTTACCTAGTCCATAAATATAACAAACCAAGTTACTCCACTTGCTTACTTATGTCCAGTTGACAGCGGTCACTTCACGACTGAATTTGTCATTACAAGATGTCTTTCTCGCGTTCATCTATAAAACGAAGGATCAAATAGGACATTAAAACTTGAACTTAATGGAAATATAAGCCACAAAAGCTTGAGTTCAGGCTTAAGCTCATTAACATTAGTAATTTGAAAGCCAAAAAAACAAATTCCTGAGAAATAAAACCTGCAATAACTTTCAATTTGCAAATCAATTATGAAATAAGGATGGCTTAGGAAAAAAAAAAAAGAAAAGAAAAAAAAAGAAAAGAAAAAAAAAGTCAATTATAATACCTTTTGAAAATTTTAGATTTTAATATTCTATGATTTTACTACAGTATTTTCTGCTTGTGAAGGAAAAAAAGAAATATAAATTCATAGAATTGCAAATCCATGACCAGTTTGTGTGCAAAACCACCAAACAACTTATTTTTTCCAAAATGTCAGAAATACAGAAAAGACTCTTTTTCTCCCCTAAAACAGGAATTATCCCTAAGTGGAAATGAGCATATTTTAAAATTTAAAGTGCACCAGCATTTGAGAAGAGTTGCTTCTGAATGAAAACACTGGTGTTTGGAGCTGTGTATTCCTTCATGTCATTTAAAAATCACTTTGTCTCTGTAGCATGACGTACTTTCCTTTCTCTCCAAAGGGTGGAATGGAGGCTGCTAGCCAAAAAGTTCATCTATTCAACAGAAGAATTTGTCAAAGCCTGATCTATGGCTTATTCTCCCTCTAAAAAATATTGGTTCATAGAAAGTTGATGGGATTTTTCATTTACTGAGGTACTGCTATATTTATTATTGATCTCTGTATTGTAACAATTCTTACAATTCAGTCTGTCACATGGATATATTTTTACCACATTTTCGATAAGAGCAAGGCCATGCACACACATAAGTAAAACGAATGTAAGGGGAACATTCTGTATGGTTCTCTATTACTAAAATCTGAGAAATACTTAAAAAAACAAAATAACATATTTATTGAGCAAATGTGCTTACTTAAATCCCACTTCATTTGGGCTGTGCTTATACTACGAAACTGAGTTTAAATTCAGATTTGGAATTTTAAGGCCAAAATAAATCTGAAATGTCTATTGACTTCAGCTTGATACATCTGGATACACACGTGGAACTGAGAAGAGAATTTGCCCAGCTGAAGACAATTCCCTGCACAATATATATGTTAAAGATTTAAGGGTCTCCACTTTGAGCAAACTGAGACTAAATATAATCCATAGAGTCTATCTATGGAGAAAAGAAGAAAAAAAAAGGGGGGGTGGGAAGTGGAGAAAGAAAAAAAAGGGTTGCAGACAAACCCAAGAGGAAAAAAAGATGGGGGGGGCGGGGGGGGAGCCAAAAAAAAAGAAAAAATAATAAAGAAAAAACAACAGCAGATTCACTTCAATTCAGACAGGTAAAATGCTTTTCCAGGCTGATCAGCAAGACAGAAAAGAGTTTCTGATATATCAGCAAAGCAAGGTATGCCACATAGCCAGAATGTGTCCCCATCCTCCAAAGGAGAAATAAAACCTGCCAGCCCAGTTTAATTGGTGGAGATGGAATTGCCTTAGAAAATCACTACTGTATCTTCTTAAGGACGTACATGTTGGAGTCTTGCTAATCCTTATCCACTCTGTCTCAGAAGCTGTGCAATGCTCACTCAGGTGTCCAGGAGGTACTTTGGCTTAGCTCAAGGCAAAGGGAGACAAGGAGGTGCTTTGTCTATGTGGACATCTTTGGAGCACCTTTTGCTTCCTCTCCCATGAGCACTTTGTGCTTGTGGGCTGCATCATTTGTTGTGATCTTATTCCCTCTTGACAGGAAATTTCCTGGGCTGTACAGCCAGTATGTAAAACTGGTGTGCTATTGATAGGGACCTAGAAAGCGGGAAAGCAGAGGTGTTTCAAACTCATCTGCCACCCATCCCACCCTTTTTTATGGGGGCATGTTTTGCTGGTTTTGTTTTTTTTTAATTCAGTACTGTCAAATGCTTTGCTTGAAAATAATTCCTGTAATATTCTGGATTCCCATTTGTTTGACAAATATGAGAAAATCAAAATTAAAGATATTTGCCATAGAATCAACTCCAGACACTAAATGTGAGCCACATCCAAAAGGACTGCTTTGTGTTCTGGAGAATTGTTTCCTAGTCAGAAAAAAATTGCCCATTTGGGGATGTTACAGGTGGCACATTAGAGATAACCATTCAGACTGGGTACAATAACAGAATCTCTGCTGAGTATAAAAACATTTCTTTTTCCTAGTAGAAGTTAGAAAGACTCAATATCAAAAATCTTTGTAACTATGATTGCCTTTCCTGATAAGATCCAAGGTCTCTCCCACCCCACTTTGCGAAGCAAATTTCCCAGGCAGTCATGAGCCCATTGCCCCTCTGGCACAGCGCTGGCAGTGAAGATTTAAAGGATCTGCTTCTTCCACTGCCTTTTTCCCCAATATGTTTAATGAAATATCGTCATGTTTCCTTGTACCGGAACTGCTTCAAAGAAAGAACAGATTTATTTCAAAATCGAAGTGCAATCTAAGAGTCTAGTCCAGTGCATTAAACAGCAGCCTTCCATAAGGAAAGATTGCTGGCTTTTCATGGTTAATAAATTAATGGGGGGGGGGGGGGGGGGGAGGCAAGGAAAACAGAGGCACAGGTCTCAGTTCAGAAGGTTTAATCATGAGTGATAACAAGGAATCAAAGGAGGAATCATCAGTAAGTAGGAAAATACACACCTGCACAAGAAGTTCTGTTGCTGTAAGAAGTCTCAAATATTAAAAGGCCTGCCAAATTAAAAAAAAAAAATATTAAAAAATTATTTGGTATAAGAGCAAGCTGCCAACTAAAGAAAATGCTCAACCAAATTTGTCTACACAGGGTCATTTTTCAAATGGTATTAGAATAGAAAAATTATAACACAAAGAAGTCTGTAATTTTAGCAGATGATTACTAACTGCCCTAATTAAGTGGCTTTAATTGACTCCATTGAAGTCAAGAGACAATGCCTACGTACATTGCTGCAAGACTCAGTAATCATAATTTCTGCAAAGTAACTTTTAAATGAGTTATCCTGCAGCTTTCATTATCTAGATGGCTGTTTTCTATCCCTGATTTACAGATCCCCAGGGGCTAGTGTGGCACTGAAGGTGACTAAGAAAAACATGTTTACTGTCAATACACTTTTCCTGGGAGCTTTGAAGGATCCCAAAATTGAGAAAGATAAAGAGAAAGGGGGCAAAGGAAATACACTTTTTCTGCTTTATTATGTATTTCTAACTTTCTAAGCATTTTCAAAACATGGAAAGGTATCTTCTTGCTTTCCCCTGAAGAATTAATTTTGTTCTCCTTCTTAATTAAAAGGAAAGACTATTAAGAAAAGAAAAATTAGGCACAAAACCAAAACATTTCAACATGTGCAACTGTTGCTCCTAAAACATACTTTATACTCCTTATAACTTTATCTAATCTCACTACTGAAAGTGGGCAACTTCAACTAAATTTTTTTTTTTAGAGAGTCTGAATAATACAACTTCATCAAAAAACAAATTAACCTGTGGTGCCACTATTCAGCAAAACTTTTAATAACTGAAGACACAGCCCTATAGCAGGAAGCATTAAGGCCTCTTGTTTTGTTTTCTCATTTACCCCCATAACTCCTTCATTTAATCTTAAAATCTGGCAAAAGCAATTAGTCCCTGTTCCTCCCATGAAATCACTTTATGGATCTGCAGCCTGTTGCTTTACTGTCATTCCTTTCTTCTAAGCTGAATACGTTCAACTTTCCTGCAGTTAGACGTTATAAACCCTTCTCTCTTTTATTTGCACTCTTCCCAACTCTCTTATTTATCTTATCTTGTTTTTCAGAAATATCGTGCTTGAAAGCTTAATGTAGCATTTTAAACGTTATCTTCCCAATTCAAAATTGAAAGGACTATATATTTTCATTTACAGCTTGTGTTCTACAGGGAATCAAAAACTCAGAGTGGAGACCAGATCTAAAGTATAAAAGCCTTGTACTAGAGCAACTACTTTAAGAGTATTTTAACACAAATATATGAAAAAGCTGAATTAAAACCATGTGTATACATAAGTAGCTCAGTCACTTCTGAGTCTTTGAACATCTACCATGACTAGCTTAGGGTTTTTTTTAACTCAATACTTAATTTTTTGTACAGTTTCCCCTAACAAAAGAAAAATATATAATTTCTTCTATAATTTTTTCTCAGTTACTTTTTTAATACCTTTTCTCCATTTTTCCCTGAAGATATCCAAGAAAACAGTTGGTAGCCAATGTTCTATGGTAGGTTTCTTTTTTCCTCTTCTGAATAAATTGAGGAAATAATCTGGTCTACTTTTCCACCCTTGGAGAATCATAGAATGTTTTTCTGTTTAACTCCACAATGCTCATTTTCTTTATTATTTTCTTCTGTGGGGCAAAAGAAGCTCATTAAATTACAGTCACATTTCTTTAGATACTTCAATAAAATTCACATAGGTCAATACTGAGAATGCTGACACCATTTTCTCAGTTTTATTTACTGGTTCTGAGAAGCTAATGCAACAGTTACAGTCAGCTGTGAGATTGACAGTGCTGTTTTAAAAAGAAATAAAGAAATAAAAGTACTGTCCACATTTGGAATCAAGCTTTCAGGGGTGGTGTGCCTGTATATGACAAGTGTGAAGCTTTGCACCCATTTCCCTCCTTGCCTTATTTCTGCCAACTCAGCCTGGGGTGGACAGTAGGTAATACTTTCTTCAGCACAAGAAACTGCACAGAAAAGAAAAATACTAAAACTACAGGGAACAACAGTGCAGCGCAAAACTAAAAGAAGACAGAGACAGTCAGGAAAACTACTGAAGCAATGAAGACTTGCAACAACTGCAAGAAGGGATCAATAAATATAGGCAACATGTAGATATCTGTTTGAATTCTGCCAGTCCCATGGAAATTAATATAAAGTGACACTGGAAGCAGTAACACTGCAGTTGAAAACAACTCTCCAGCTAGTCCAGCTAATATGGTGCTGGGTGGTTAAGACATCCTCTGGCAGACATTTTTTCCCCAAGACCTGTTGGAGAAGAGATAAATAGTTACCTAAAGAGCAAAAAATTCACAAATAGACATTGCAGCTTACCAGAATGCCCGTGGTTCTCACCTTGTTTACTATTATCTCACTACATTACTGCAGTTCCCTGGGGAGCACAACTCAATGAACACCATCAGCACCCTAGAAGCATAAGAACGGCCAGACAAGTTCCCTGAGGTTTTCCCCAGCTGCATCTACTGATAAGGGTCCAGGTGATAGCATTTAAGTAAATCTGTTGCCAGGTAAATTCTCCTTGAGCAGCCTTTAATACAGATTTAGCTGTGACAAGAAAGATAAGGTTAAGTCCATAAAAGGTAGTCTTGTGTCAAGTAAAAAAAAAACAGGAACACTGTATATATCAAAATACCCTCATAAAGCAAAGGGGAGAGGATTTGGCACAACATGGGAGCACTTTATACTCTTATAAACCTGATTATTAGTGAGAACCCTAGATTTTATTATGCTTCAGTTTGTACTGGTCCCTCTCCTGACTGCAAAGGAGCAATTTGCACCACCTCGGTGTCTTGTCCAGCATATGGGCATGCAAATGTATACTCCCATTCCTCCAAGTGTCTAAGGAGCAAATACACTTCAAATATACTTCAAAGACTGGGTATTCAGTTTTACAAAGTTCATGTTGTAGTAGGTGCCTTTACATTAGCCTCCTGGAGAGTATCAGGAGATTTGAGTTATTTCTGGTGGAGGACAAAAAGTTTTTAAAAGTTGTGATATTTTTACAGTTCTTATGAGAACTGCCATGTAAAATTTATTTTACTCTTTGTGGGTTTTTTGTTTATGATTTTCAAACATTTGTTCACTTAGTTGTTTATTTAAGGAAATAGTAATATTTATCTTCAGTGTCTTTGTTTGGAGGTGTGGGCACTGGATTGTAGATAGTTTTGTCATATTGCAGACTGTGACAAACTAAAAAGTCTCAGGTTCCTGCAGGATTTAGAAGTTGCCAGCAGAGGCTGGAAACAGTGAAAGGCTCTGCCCAGAGCTAACATGCATGAAATATCATATGTGGGAAGGAGAACACAGTGCTGCAGAAACCCAGTAAAGAGGTAACATCTGTGGAGGATACCTGTCCTGGGTTCAGCAGTAGCAGTCATGGTTTTTTTCTTTGTGGTAGCTGGTGCAGTGCTGTGTTTTGACTTCCAGCCTGAGAACAGTGTTGGTGAAGTCGATGTCTTCAGTTGTTGCTAAGTGATTTTTACCCTGACCAAGGACTTTGTGAGGCTCATGCTCTGCCAGGGAGGAGGGGAAGCTGTGAGGAAGCAGAGATGGGGCGCCTGACCAGGGCTAGCCAGGGAGGTATTCCATACCACAGCACGTCATGCCCGGGGTGGGGGGTAACTGGGAGTTACCCGGAAGGACACGGGCTTCCGGGTGGAACTCGTTTTCTTGGCCGGTGGTATCGTATTCTCTTCCCTTGTTATTTTCCCTTATCATTGTTGTCGTTGATAGTAGCGGTGGTGATTTGTGTTGTACATTGGTTGCTGGACTGTTCTTGTCTCAACCCGTAGGAGTTGCACTCTTTCGATCCTCCTCCCTGTTCCTCTGGGAGCGGGGAAGGGGAGAGCCCCGGTGGCGGGGGGGGGACGGACCTCGATTGTTGTCAGCTCGGCACCACTCACTGGGAGTGAGTGAACAAGTTACCTGACTGGGTTTAAACCACGACAATCCCTTTGCCTGGAAAATTAAGAGGTTGTATGCCCCATAATATGCCTTCCAATATCTTTATACAAGACCTTCTTGAAGGAATAATAAATCGCCTTAGTCGATGAGGAATGGGTTAGAGATCAGTTGAGCAATCTGGACATCCATAAATCCATGGGTCCAGATGGGATGCACCCACGGGTGCTGAGGGAACTGGCGGAAGTCATTGCTAGACCACTCTCCATCATCTTTACCAAGTCTTGGGAAACGGGAGAGGTGCCTGAAGACTGGAGGAAAGCAAATGTCACTCCAGTCTTCAAAAAGGGCAAGACGGAGGACCCGGGTAACTATAGACCGGTCAGCCTCACCTCAGTTCAAGAAGGACAGGGAGCTGCTGGAGAGAGTCCAGCGCAGGGCAACCAAGATGATTAAGGGAGTGGAGCATCTCCCTTATGAGGAAAGACTGAGGGAGCTGGGTCTTTATAGTTTAGAGAAGAGGAGACTGAGGGGTGACCTTATAAGTGTCTATAAATATATAAAGGGGGAGTGTCACGAGGATGGAGCCAGGCTCTACTCAGTGGCAAACAATGATAGGACAAGGGGTAATGGGTACAAACTGGAACACAAGAGGTTCCACTTAAACTTGAGAAGAAACTTCTTCTCAGTGAGGGTGACGGAACACTGGAACAGGCTGCCCAGGGAGGTTGTGGAGTCTCCTTCCCTGGAGACATTCAAAGCCCGCCTGGACACATTCCTGTGTAACGTTATCTAGGTGTTCCTGCTCTGGCAGGGGGATTGGACTAGATGATCTTTTGAGGTCCCTTCCAATCTCCAGCACACTGTGATACTGTGATACTGTGATACCTCCATCCCTGGGAAAGTGATGGAACACCTTGTCCTTGGTACCATCTTAAGGCATATCAAGGATAAGAGGGTTATGAGGGGCAGTCAACATGGCTTCACCAAGGGGAAATCATGCTTGACCAATCTCTTAGCCTTTTATGAGGAAATAACACGGTGGATGGATGATGGCAGAGCGGTGGATGTGGTCTACCTTGACTTCAGCAAAGCATTTGACACAGTCTCCCACAGCATCCTCATGGCTAAATTGAGGAAGTGTGGACTGGATGATCAGGTAGTGAGGTGGACTGCGAACTGGCTGAAGGAGAGAAGCCAGAGAGTTGTAGTCTATGGGGCGGAGTCGAGTTGGAGGCCTGTAACTAGTGGAGTGCCTCAAGGGTCAGTACTGGGACCGGTATTATTTAATATATTCATCAGCGTTTTAGATGAGGGAATTGAGTGTACTATCAGCAAGTTTGCTGATGACACTAAGCTGGGAGGAGTGGCTGACACACCAGAAGGCTGTGCTGCCATCCAGCGAGACCTGGACAGGCTGGAGAGTTGGGCAGGGAATAACTTGATGAAATATAACAAGGGAAAGTGTAGAGTCCTGCATCTGGGCAGGAACAACCCCAGGTTCCAGTATACGTTGGGAAACGACCTGTTAGAGAGCAGTGTAGGGGAGAGGGACCTGGGGATCCTAGTGGACGACAGGATGACCATGAGCCAACACTGTGCCCTTGTGGCCAAGAAGGCCAATGGCATCCTGGGGTGTATTAGAAGGGGGGTGGTTAGTAGGTCGAGAGAGGTCCTCCTTCCCCTCTACTCTGCCCTGGTGAGACCCCATCTGGAATATTGTGTCCAGTTCTGGGCCCCTCAGTTCAAGAAGGACAGGGAGCTGCTGGAGAGAGTCCAGCGCAGGGCAACAAAGATGATTAAGGGAGTGGAGCATCTCCCTTATGAGGAAAGACTGAGGGAGCTGGGTCTCTATAGTTTGGAGGAGACTGAGGGGTGACCTTATTAGTGTCTATAAATATATAAAGGGGGAGTGTCACGAGGATGGAGCCAGGCTCTACTCAGTGGCAAACAATGATAGGACAAGGGGTAATGGGTACAAACTGGAACACAAGAGGTTCCACTTAAACTTGAGAAGAAACTTCTTCTCAGTGAGGGTGACGGAACACTGGAACAGGCTGCCCAGAGAGGTTGTGGAGTCTCCTTCCCTGGAGACATTCAAAACCCCCCTGGACACATTCCTGTGGAACATTATCTAGGTGTTCCTGCTCCGACACGGGAATTGGACTAGATGATCTTTCGAGGTCCCTTCCAATCTCTAGCATACTGTGATACTGCGAATATTGAAAGTGCCACATGCCTGAAAAGTTGTATTGATTTAACATCAGAAATAACTGTCAGAATTTTCTCCCCTTAATCCCAAGAGACTCAGGCTGGGGTTTCACACTGGCAGATGGCCTACACACCACTTCCTCCAAACACTTTCTCATAGCCAAGAATTAAAATTTACAGAATTCAAAAGAAATAACTTTAACTTCCCCAATCAAACCCAAGACCACTGACCTGAGAACTGTACACAGCCCCTCACCAGGCAGCTACACAATGCTATTGTGCACAATGCCCTCTGTGCAGCTCACATGCCTTTGAAATCAATAAGAAAGATTTCCTCTAATAGTTTTTGAAAAGGGCTGGAGCACAGTACAAGGCTGCCATGCTCAGAATAGAGGGTATGCATCAACAGAACAATTTTTAGCACCTATAAATAAGAAAACAATGTAGAAATTATGCATTGCCCTAACTGCAGCAAAAAGAACACAAAAATATTAATGTAATTACATGAAAAATACCAATTATTACAAATTTCTTTTTCATGCTTTCATGCCGATTCATTTTTTTGGTAAGCAGCTCCACTGCTCTTTGCCATCCATATGTGTATGTGCATATATTCAGATATATGTATGTACAAACACACATGCACTTTTTATTTCTGCACCACAGGCCAACATGACTTCTTTGCCTCTTCAATAACCAGATGGCAAAGATATATGCCTGTGCAAAGGCACTGTATTCTGGATCATTGCTCTTTGCTGTTTTTCAGCTGGATGTCACTTCAGATTACCTAGTGTTGTCTGAAGTACAACACAAGCCCAACAAGCCAATTTCTATACTTTTGTAATACACTTGCATTCACTGACACTGCATGAGGTATAAATAAGTACAGATATTGCCCTAATAAATTTACAGTAATATAAATCTGGAAAAATAATCTTCTGCATTAGCAATCAAATAATATACTGAGATAAAATGAACCTTTAGGGAAAATACTTAAAGACTGAAGGATGAGTGAAGTATGGAACGTTTAGCTAAGTAATGATTAAATAGGTACATGAACTACATATTAATATTTGATGAATTAAGTTGGAAAAAAATACGTAGGGTAACGTAAGGGGGTATAGCTTAAAGCCATGTGAAGAAATCTCATCAGGAAGACATATTAGATTGGGGAATAGTCTCTCAAGAAAAGAAGTATTAACCCTATAATTTAGATAACTGAAAATACAACTGGAGAAAATACCAGAAAACGACAACATGCAGCAAATATTCCAGGATTTGAGGGAATGATCTAGAAGACAAATGGTGACAAGAGTCCTATCTCTAGTTTCAGCTGACACTTCTTTAAGCTCTTGCCAAATGAGCATGAGACAGAGCTTTTCTGCCATGGGGACCAAAAGGGATATCCAGGAAAAGCAGAGGACCCTGACAGCAGTTGTTAATGGAACATCAAGCTTTGCTAAAGGTAAACAGAGACTGCCAGGTTAAGGGCACGGAGACTCAACAAAAATCATTGAACAAAAGACAAAATCTATTTATATGGCTCTGTTATTCAGTTAGAGGAATCAACATTTGGAGAATATGTTCTACAGCTCTTTCTCCACAGTTATGTTTATAAAGGATGAACTGCTTAAACAAGCCATGCAAACTTGTCTGCTGCTTCTCAACTTCACGTCTTTTGGTTCTCCCCTCTCCCAGCAGTAGAAGATGCCATTCAGGTTCAGGTCTAATTAAGCTGATCTGACTTGTATAGAAAGTCCACTGCTTCAACAATAATAGGCCCCATTCTGTGACTACATTTCTTTAACCAGAAAATGTCCACTGAAATCAAAAAAGGAGTTTTACATACCCATCACACAGCAGTGAACAGCAAGTCTTGTCTAAGGACTTCATTGTTCTTTCTGTGCAAGATATGGCTCATTGTCAGAGGCTGTCCTGGGTTCAGCTTAAGCCACAGTATTGGCTTATATGATTTTTCATCTGCTTAAGTGTATAATTTATGTTTACAAAGTGCAGATTCATAACTAAAGTAAGAGCTAGTACTTGCCCTGGGCTAACATCTCTGTTTTCACCCAATAGCAAAAACTGATGTCATGTATCTTTTTTATCTTTTGGAATTGCCTACAAGTCCACATTATAAAATATATATAAATAAATAGATGTTATGCCTACATTTAAATTATATAATCTGTATACTTGTACTATATATATATTCATATATATATATATACATTATGTGCAGAGGAGAGAGTTTCAAGCCAACCTTATTGAGATTCAAAGCACAGCAGACCTTTTTCTCATCATATGAACAAGACTATTTTGAGGCAAATTTGCATTTTGTAGCCAGAGGCCTCATTTGCAGGTGACTGAACTATCAATTAAAATAGCTTGTGTAGGTTTTTCTGTAGGATTTTCATATAAACAGGTCATTGCTCTTTATTCAAGTGGTGAGTGGCATTTTAGACATTAATAACAGAAAGTTTTCCTAAAGATTTCCAGTACTGTCTTATGGATTGGCATTTTCTTTTCCCCAAGCTAGTGGAGGAATGAAGATGCACCTTTCCACACATTGTCACACTGGTCAAGAGTCTTAGCAGTATTATAGATATGTGCTGCTATAACAAGTTGTCTACCTTACTAATTAAAATTTAAAAACTCAATTCAGATCATATATGGTTATCAAAAAAATCCATCAATGGCTCCTCCATAGCCTTAAACCTTTGACACTTTGGACTTTGAATAAAGTGAAAAACAAGTTAACAGAACTGAACTGATTTCAGGATTGGTACTTTGATGAAGCTTAGGATAGTCCTGTTTACCTTGCATTGTTTCAAAAGCAATCTGTTCTTGACCTACATGTTGTTTATAGCCAGTTTTCTATGGTTATTTGCAATTTATCTGTGCTGTTCAGTTGCATGTTTATATCAGGTCCAGCCTCGTAATTCAGCTCCAAGCCACTCTTCAGTGTAAGCATGTTAAAATAGGTCATGAACTCCATACTCACAATTACTACAGCTCTATTTCTGTTATTGACTGATTGTTCTTTCTTAGGATATTTTTATTTGTCTCAACAATGCACTTAAGTGTAACTGGGTTCAGCACTTCTATGATTAAGGGATTTTTAGGTTAGCTATTTAATCATGGACCAACAATTTTGTCACTGGTAGTGAGTCAATCATCCTACAAAATACACAGTTAATGTTTGAGGTTTTTGTTTCATGGTTTGTTTGTTTTTCATAAACTGTTCATCAAACACTTGTGAATAATGAATGCACAACTACTTAGTATCAGACATTATATGTAAATTTAGGGCCCAATTAATCCAATAGTTTATCAAGAATATTTAAGTAATATTAGCTAAAAGCATCAAATTAATTCTCTAATAGCCAACTGAACTTTCTGACTGTGCATAAGTGTTTGCAAAACATGGGCGTGCACACACAGCCTCTACCCTCAAGCTGCTGCTGAGCTAGCCTGAGCCTTGTACTCACCTTCACCAGCCTCAGGGAAAGCAAAGGATTTGCAGCCTCACTCATATTTTCATTCAAAAATTGCCCAAAACCAATAATGTTATGCCTAGTGGAAGTGAAATGTCATACTTTACATTCCTTTTATGACTTTATTTAATATGTATATGGTTTTCTTGATTTAAGATATAATCTGTCAAAGTATATTTGTACCACCACCTCCAGGATTGCTGTGGTGTAACTAAGGTTCAGTTATAATTTTCATTATAAATATATGCAGTAAGTTTGAATAATTTTTTTGTAAAGCATACCAAGCTGTCTGCTTGGATGCGTTGGATTTTTCCTCCATGAAATTGATTTAAATCTTATAAGACATTTTTCTAGAGAGGCCAAAAAATAAAACTGCATCTCTCAATATTAATAGTTACACTTCATAAGAAAAAGCAAAAAACTTTTTTACATAGATTATTTTTTTAACAGTTTACACAAAAGCAATGAGAAAACCAATACTGGCTATGTAAGTTTTATCAGCAGCTTTGGATGGGGTGATACTAGTGTCTCACAATGGGTAAAAACGTGAAATCACCAAAGTCACCATAATGTAGCTTTTCTAGAAACTTCAGGGTATACAATCTACTCTGATTTCTAAATGAGGCCAACCAATGTCAAAGATGATATGTTTCACAGATGATGATTAAGTAATTCAGGCTCAAAATACTGTAACTTAGGTCTTGAGTATGAAAACCTTTACTTAATCCCTTTGAAGTCAACCAAGCTGCCTGTGTGTTTAGGGATACCTCTCATGAAGGAAGGATTTCTTTCTTAAAAAGTATCTGGGAATAAGGATAGAGTAAAACCACATATTTCACATTTAGGTATTTTATCTAAACAGCTGGAGTTTGGTCAGCAGATTCCAGGAAGTTTGTCAGATTTCTGAATTTTATAACAAAGATACTCTGCTTTAATAATTAGAATTTAATAATTTAAATCGTGTCTTTGCATTCCAAAATATAAACAATTAAACCCCCATGATTTATGTTATATATTGCACATGTAAAGCAGTCAAGTGAATCACTGGTCACTTAGACATGCAATGACATGTATAGAACTATTCCCTTCACAATTTATTAGAAAAAGCTGAAATTGAGAGCTTTTTTACAAATAGAACATCTTGGTTAAAAATGTCAGTCTGTATTAACTGAAATATTCTATCCAGGATTTGATAAGTTTAAGTAAGATCTGTATGTCTGTTGGGTCATATTTGAAACCAAAATTAACTTTGAATCAAAAATCAAATTACAGCTCTTTGCAAAATGTCAAAATCTGGTTCTCTTACAGCTGTGCTGAAAAAAAAAAAAACAAAAACTAAATCAAAATTAAAAAAAAAAAAAATGCAGAAAGCCTAAAGAAATTGCCAAAGCAGACTCTTTTATGCAAAAAGTCCATGGAGCTGAATTTTTTAAATTAAGAGAGGTGTGACTATTTGATGTGTTTCGCCTGAGTACTTTATATTGCTTATAAAGACCCAACAAAGTGCCTGACGAATTCTGCAGCTCTATCTGTTGTGGAGCCCTAGCAGGTACAGAGCTCAAAGAAACAGCCACCTCCTCCCATTATATGACCTTGTTCAAAGCACAGTATGTAGCTGCAGGAAGTAAGAACTGATAGTGCTGCAAGCTGTTATAGGCAACATTACCTTAGTCATTCTTTGGGTGGAGGAAGGAAGAAGGAAATTTTCTGAGTTAAAGTTGCTATAATTAATTTTCTGTGTGTGCACTTTACTCATACAGTCAATTTGTCATTGAAGGGTATAATTTACTCTTCTCTCCACAGACTTTTGAACAGCAAAGTAAAAGATGTTCAATATCGCAAAGTATGCAATACTGATGATAAAGCAGAAAAATCAGTGCTTTGCAAACCCTCCCATCACTTTGAGTCCTTTTTTCTAGCTGGGCTCTAAAGGAACTTTCCATCAAAGCCAGAAGAAAAATATATACAATTTTAAACCTTTACCTGACCTCTTGTTTCCAAAGGGTTACGCCTTAAACCTCTGGGTCCTTCCAGCTTTCTTTTTTCTTGTTAGAACTTCCTTTTCAGGTGTCCTCCATGCCCCTTTATGGCACAGACCAGGCTTTCACGCCAGCTACCTCCTGCTCTGCTGGGAGCCCACACAGTGGAGCCACGCTCTGACCTTGCCTTCAAACACAAAAGACAAAAGGGAAAGGATGAAACCAACTGAAGCAAGAGAAACAGTTGTACTAGGCAGCAGACGAGAGAGTGAAAAACCGCAACAACATAGTATTAGTGGGAACTGCAAGTTACAGCAAAATGCACTGCACAAAAAGCATTTTAACCCTAACTCTGCAATCCAGAGGATTTTTTGTCCTTGTCATGTCATGGAATAGATTTCTTACTCTCAAATGCAGGTCTTGTGAAGCCCAAGCAGAACTGTACTAGAAGAAACTGGAGAAACAAACAAAATTCCAGGTGGCTGCTCTGTTAAGAGAGGTTTTACAAAGACTGGTCTAAATAAGGAGTGAACCGACCTTTAAAGTAATAGAACCAAGGAAGATTGATAAAAGTATTGATTGAAGGAGATATTAGTAGAAGTATTTTCATATCTATTCATCTTTACTGCATGAGCCAGATGACAAACTTTTGAGCCATTTTTTAAAAAACAGGACTTCTCAGAAACAGGATGAAATACAAATACCAACTGCAACATTAAAGGTGATATCATATTTAACATAGAAGCATCTCTGGTGTATCTCAGAAGACATACTAAAAAAAAGGTCTTATGAATAGAAGTCTTAATAATGCTTAACCATAATAAGAGGGTAGGAGAGAAAGGATTAAGATCTAGTGAATCATTGTGAGGATATACACATCATAATGTCTTCTAAAAGTGAATCCATTTCTAAGAGCACAGACTTACAGAGAAATCACATCTCACATCTGAATACTTACAATTTTAAAATATGAGTAAAATAACTCAGCTCACAATGATGAGTTCTCCCTGCTGTTGACTGTTTTTTTCCTTTTGCAGCCTGAGTTAAGCACCATTTCTAGTGAAAGCAGTCTAATGTTTTCTCTGTAGAGTTTAGTTTCACAGTTATAATCCAAGCTTTTTATTTGTAACACTAGCCCATTGCAGATTAGGGAATAAAGGAAAAATTAGGATGTGTGGAGGTGCATTTCAGTTGTCAATTTGTTTGCTTTTAATTTCTCAGAGATTTGTGATAAGAGAAGATTGCTGAGAGAAATCATGTTTTTTCGAATGTGTAGCAGTTTTGAATGGGATTACTTTGAGCTCTGCATTTTTTCTCCATCCTTTGAAGCATTGCAATCATGTTCTGATTTCCAGATTCACCCTGCTGTATTTTTACCTCATATCAGTTGAATGTATGACAGATATAGTGCATGGCATAGTTCCAGTTAAATATTGCTGGAAAAGCAAACACTGAAATCACAAGGAGCCTCAAGGAGGGTGAAAAGAGCTTTGCCTTACTCAGCACAACAAAGCCGTGGGCAGAAACACCTATGGTTAAAAGCGCAAATTCCTTTGGAAGACCTCACCAGCTGCAGACGTCTGTATAGACACATACTTGCACATGCATGCAAGCATATATTTGTCTGTTTTCTATGGTCTTGTCTATAGCATGCAAATCTTTAATATTTTTTAGTGAACGCTAAGGTCGGTTCATTATCAAAGACCCTTTTAAATCAACAGGATTCTTGAGACAAATTAATATTTGCACTTAAAACTGAATTTTGTCCTTTTAGGGCTTTTATTGAATCATTCTGAGAGAAAATGAGTTTAAGATCAATTAAATAAATTTACAAAACTCAGAAGTGAATGTAGGTATTCAGTTTCAGTTTTCTAACCTGCTTGAATGTTGACCTTCGAAATGACTTGTAACCATCTGCTCATGACATCTATATATTTCTTGAAATTGGGGAAAAGGAGTTCAGAGCATGAATTTCCTAAGGGCTCGATTCTTGGCAGAAGCATAACTAGGGAAGCATGACCTATAATTTCCCAGCCTAAAAATCTCTGGAGTTATCAGCAGAGATGGCGAAGGGAGGTTTTAGATGTTGAGGGCATAGCCAATTAGAAAAGTCACTTTAAGTGGATGCTAAAACAGGGAGAGAAGGATCTTGGCTGGCACTCAAAATTTAAATAGAGCATAAAAAGATGGTATTTTATTATTTCACGAGGAACTAAAGGAAAGTAATCAAGAATAGTCTGTACAACTTATTATAGGAAAGAAAAATAGAGGGACTGCAATTCAGATTTTCAAATCCAACAGTTTTATGAACTAAATAAGTAATAAATCCAAAAATAACAAAATTAAATAGAATTTAAGAAGCTATTTTAAAAAAACAATTTGAATTAAACAGTATATTAGTTAGCATTTGAGCAAATTTATGTATTCTTATATTGTTACAGCTCTTGGTTGGGTATAAACAGCAGGATAAGTAGGAAGGTAAAACTCCTGGAAATCACAATTACTGCATTTTACGATGGCAATTTATATTTACAGTATTCATTGCTCAAAGTTGAAATTGTGACAAGTCTGTAACAGCTGTCTCTTTGAAACCTGTTTGCTATAAGACACATTTTCTGAAGGCTTATACCCAGTCCCCAGTAAATGTATCACACACAGATGTCCCTGATGTTTTATCAAGGCTCATAGTTTTGTCCCTTTTCTCCAAATACAATGATATGTTTTGCTATCTCTGCTTTTGTAGTGCTACAGGTTGTATTCAAAGGAGAAATGCCTTATATAGGCTTATCTTTGTTATTTATGCAGAAGAGCAAACAGGTGTAAAGAGCAGATAAATGAAAGGTCCTTCTCAAAAGGAACATGGGAGCTGGAGTCCCAGGGTTCCTGAATGTGCTTACCTTTAACCACGGCAAACAGGTCAATGAGTGAGTCTCCATAGACATGGGATACTGATCGCACGTTAAAGAGTGAGTTGGGTGAAGAAATGCAGTGAAGAATAACAGCAGAGCAAAAGGGAATTTAAATCTGCTCCAGAGTTCTGAAAATTGGCAGAGGCACAAGGTGATTACAGCTGTTTATTTCAAATACTGAAGGATCATTAGGGAGGTTTTATGGAAAAGATTTATTAATTTGTCAAACTTACCTTAAATATGTTTTCTCTTTTTATCACACCTCCACAAAGCTAAAAAGTCATATCGTAACTGTTATTGGACTAAGCTTTCAAACTGCCTTTAGGTAAGTACTGTCTGTGCATCTGACCATGATTCACAGAGGTGAAGTGGAACAGGAATGGTTAATTGAATGGTCTTTATAAAAGCAGGGTGTCAAAAGCAAGGAGCACTGTTTTGCTCCCAGATTTTAATCAGAAAGCTTTCTATTAAGACAAACAGGTAGGTAGGTAGATAGATATTTGCATGTCTTGCACCTCTGGCAGTGATTTCAGTCTGTGGAGGCAAGGTGTAAGACATCAAACAAAACTCTCTTCTGATGCTGGCAGTAGCAGTCCTCACCTAATTTGACATGTGTAATTAGTGTCTCAAGGTGCAAGGTAGTGAAGAATCCTAACTACAGTCTTTGTACGAGAGAACAAAGAGTAAGAGAAATGCTTATATTTAGCCTTGATGTACTTTCAGTTTTTAAACCAAACAGAAGTGTTAAATAAATAGCTATGAATAGATTTGAAAACAGCTAGCAACAATAAGACAAAGGACTGGAAGAGATTAAGAATTTTTTTTTTGGGGGGGGTACTTTGACTTCTTTTCCTCTTTCACACCTTATTAACCTCTTCTTACTTCCCATTTCAGTGAAGTTTCCACAGTACTGATGTCCATGCCTTGGCTTGTCAGACTGTCACAACTTTCCCTCCTGAGCTGGAGGGCAGCTCTCCTTTATCAGAAAGGTACTCAATAGGAAGGCTCATGGCTGAGGGCATGTTCTAAAACTTTATTTTCCAGAACCATCAATTTTTATTCCCTTCAACATAAGTATCCTGTCTTGCTAGTCAGCTTGATAGTTGTCAACCGCATTAATGATAGGGAAAGGAGCAAGAAGAATTGTTTAAAATTCTGTAATGAAATAAGGACAATGGAAATTTTGGCTGAATAAGAGGAGAAACATCTATCTCTTAATGGACAGCTGCAATAAATTTTGAAATATCAATTTGGTCAAAACGCTGGAAATAAGCTATAAAGAACAATTTCTGCACTGACACGAGATGAACTTCTAACCAAGAAGCTTTTATGTGTCTCTAACTTCTGAATATACCAATAGAACAGGAAGAGGGTGTGGATATCAAAGAAAATTGCTTTAGGGAATTTAATCTCACTATTAGCCATTTGTCCCCATGGATGTTGTCATGAAATGAAAAACATCACCTAGAGCTACTATAATGGTAAAATGAAAAAGAAATTTTTATTTGAAAGAAAAAGTTTATAAGATGTTTATAAGACAGTAGACAATAACACAACAAGGTCAGATTTAGCAGATAGAAATGGTTCTTGTGTTACTGGACACCAGCAGGAAATATATCTTTGTTCAAGGATTAATTGCCACCTTTCAGCAACAGAGGTTTTCCATCAGGAGGAAGCTTGAAGAGAGAGATTTCTTGAAAGGAAACATTATCCTTGTTATGTCCCAGGGCTTTCAGAAAGGTAATTGAGCCTTCTTAAAAGCAAGGAGCTTCTGTAAGTGGCATTATACTGACAGTAACCACCTTTCAAGCATTTGGTTTTCACTTCTGTTCAAGTGTTGTGTCATTAGCATATAGAGATATTTATCATGTACAGAATGTCACAACAAGGAAACTTCTAAGAGCTTACCTTGATAAAAAGGAGCTCAGTTTGTCTGAAGGGGAAAAACGCAGTGTTGGCTTATGTATTAAAGTACATATTAAAATCTTATGGTGTTTGGAGAAAGGCAGAAAATCACTGAGGAGATGTTCCTGAACATCTTTTGGTACTCTGTCTTTCTCCTACCTTAGGTATAGCTTGTTCTGCTCCCAGATTCCCAGTGTGTGGCCATGCAATAAACAGTCTCACAACACTGAAGCTTTTGCAACAATAGCTTGGTCCCCTTGCACAATTATGTCAGTGTATCTTTTCCATGTACGTATTCCCAGTTTCTAGGGGAAGCAGACCCCGAAGTTGCAGGACAGCAGGGATAAACTCTCTAAAGAGGAAAAGAGGAAAACCAAGAGAACTATTTCTTGTTCTTGTAATGACATTTTTTAAGAAACAGACCTTCCACAAAGGTGGTACAGAAAACAGGATCTTCAAACATAATTTACCTAAAGCAAAGCCAGAAACCTTTAAAATAGTAACTGGAGAGGAAATCTATTTTCACCACTTCACAGCTAGATGCTTTCACTAAGAAAAATATCCCTTTCAGAAATCTCTCTAATATTTCTCCTATGAAGTGGAGTCAGTGAGGTACCCAGGGAACTTTACATCAGTAAAAAAAGTCATAGCTCTCCTGCAAGTTTTATGACTAGAACCATCTCCTTTTCACCTTCTTTTTATTCCATTCTGCTCCCTCAGTGGCCTCTACTCTTAAAATACTTAAAAGAGAAGCTAAAGCATGAAGATTATACAGGACTATTCCCACAGATGACTCCTGCTCCCTGCTGCTCCCAATGTTCTTGCTAGCAGGATCTCCACTCTTGAGAATATTCTGTGGATGATATCTAAATGTCAACTGTGCCAACTTCTGAGACCTTGAAAATGCAGTATGTGTTGGGTTAGGATTAATATCTGTCACTTGACTCACTGGTCATGCCACCTTCCCATATAAGTACCTTAATTTACTTTCCGTATACATTCTTCTCTGCTGAAATGAAAGACAAGATAAAAGACATAGAGCTGATGTGCTGTTTGGTGACCGAGGCCCCTGTCAAGAGCTTAGAACTGGACTAAGACCACAAGCTCATTTCACATAACCAAATGAACAGCAGTCATACTATAATGATTTCTACAGCTGCTAAGAGCCATGGCCTTCAGACGATATATTGAATTCAGTATTTCCTTATGCAGATAGATAATCATTTTTTAAGCTCAGAAATCTAATATCTTCCAACACGAGAGTAAATTTCTTGTACTGTGAAGACTACAAGGATCAAATCTGCATCCTGTGTTCCAGGTACTCAGCTGTCATTCTGTGGCCCACTTTGAGTTTTACATATACCTAAATTGAATTAAAGCCTGAAACTCAATGACTTTTATCAACCTGTTGACTGTGAATCTGAAACTTTTCATTAACAGAGTCCTAAATGGAAATACCATATTTATAAGGTGATATACATTTATAAAAATTGCAAAATAGTAACTTTTCTGCTCTTTTAGCATGTTAAAATCACGATCTTAGCAGTGAAGAAGTAATTAGTTTGTCATTCTACAAAAAGCCAATGTGTACTAAGCATGTTCATGCCCCTAGAAGGGAGACAGCTATTAAATTCCTTACCTTTCCTATGTAAAAAGCTATTCTGGAAACATGCAAGTACTGTGATTCTTCCAAGCACTACACATCATTTCAAGAAACATTAAACTATTACCTTCCCATTTTTGGTTCTTACATGTTTCATCAAAATAATGACTTGGAGCGAAACAGTGAACAGCAAGCCAGGTCCTACAGAAAGAAAATTTTAAGAATATGTGGTAGAAAACCTCAGTATAAAATCAAAAGGGAAAACTAAAGCAGTAAAATATTGTACTGTTTCTTTAGAATACAGAGCAATGAAGTAGTAATTTACAATTAAATACCACGTTTAGCATGCTGTGTATTCAAAGCAACAATTCAATAACATAATGTAATAACTCAATAATATAATTTCCAATACATTCTTGGTTAACAACTGGCCTGTTTATTAATAGCCAAAATTGAAACTGCTATAGACTTTCATTATGGTAGTCAGTAATGATGCATTACCCATATTATTTCCCATTAAAATTAATTGTTATTGGGCATTGTACCTGAAGTTCCCAGAGGTATATTTGTCCTTAATTTTACGAGGAGAAATTTCTGGGGAAAAAGAAAAATACAACAAAAATCCCCAACAAAATAGAAAAAAAATCCCCAAAACACCACCAAGCTTTGCTGTATTCTGAGTTCACGTACTTCAGTGTTTTGTTTCAGAACAAAGTTATTTCCAGAATTGCTCATCACCCACATGGGAACTGGCTGTTCGAAAGAGCTCCCTGGCTGCTTCCAACCTGCTTCTGCTCCCACCTCTGAAACCTTCACTGTACCCTGATTGAGGGCAAAATTTTCCAAAGGTCTTTTTGAAGTGTTTAAATTCCATTTTCTGTTTTATATCCTCACCACCAGAGCACTAAACAGCCCAAAAGAGTTTTTATTAATGACTAACATCTGCCCAGTGCCATTATATATCATATAGAACCTTTTTTTTCTCTAGCTATGTACTGGCTGTAATGTTTCTGAAGTTTGGTGTAAAATCTGTGGTTTAGTCTAAGAGGAGCAACTTTTAAGTCTTGTAGTCATTTCCCAGCCCTGTTTCTTACTGTGTATGTTTTCATTTCTAGTCTGCCTATATCATATCCCATTGCCTGCAGGTCTTCCTGACCACACCCTTATACTGTGAAAACATTAACTCGTTGCAACCCAACTGACTGTTAAGGAGAGGAGAAAAGGCATAAAAAAAATTTTACTTACTGAGATAAAGACTGGAACTGTGAGAAAATTTACATAAGTCCATAATATTTTTCCAACGATGGAATAAAAATTAATTGGGAGGTACAGTTGCACTATGCTTGATATTGAAATCAGTCACAAGATTCAATATAAGATTCAATCAGATTCAAGCCAAACCTAGTCTTTCCCAGTCTAGGTTTTATTTATTGAAGAATAAGGGATACTGGGGTGGGAGGGGGGAGGCGATAGAGGGGGAAGAGTTTGGATTTATTTTTTTTTAAACTGACATTTTCAATTTTGCCAAATTACTGACTTCTCATGGTTTAACCTTTTTTATTTTTTTTCCTACATAATGGAGATGAATTATCACCTTAAAGTCAACTTCTCAAAGGTACGGTTGGAATTAAGAGCACAGTTGCAAAACTGGAGGATTCTAGAGCCCAAGTAAGAGATATGCTGCAGATTTTAAGATATCCTTTATATATGTTTGTGTCCATGTAGTAAATCGGAACTTCAGTAGAGCCTTCTGTTTAAACCAATGGGACAATCACCTCTTAGTGTGGGTATGCAGGAGGAAGAGGAGTGCAGAACCCCCTACTCTTCCCAAGTACCACAAAATGAGGTTCAAATTTTGGCTTTTCTGCATCTTTTGAGCATACCTCAGTTTACAAAAATGGAATTTGCCATTATGGTGGGACACTGTGTCTAAGACAGGCTGTCACCTTTCTATATCTCTCCCTTTCCATATCTAATCAGAGACTGGCACAAGTGATATTGTGTTAAAAAGTAGTTTGAATTTTACAGCCTGCGTATTTTGGAATAGAAAGGATCTAAGTGCTCATTTCTTGAGTTACCTCTCTTTGAAGCTTGCAACAAATCAATCTGTGCCCTTTATCTAAGATTTGTGAAAATTAGGCACAAGGCTACAATGCCATATTTATTCAAGCCTCCCAGAATTGAAACCTTTTCAATTACATTGTTTTGTTTTACATTTTGTGCAACAGTAAATTTATTTCTTATGCAGCAACTGAAGGCAGCATTTTTGATCTTTAGGCTAATTCATTACATCAGAACATAAACCCCATAAGCTAGAGCTAACAAGGGAAATATGTGTATTACCAAAAGCACAAGTTTTATACAATGGGAGATTCTGGTTGCAAAATGCTGAAAGTGTAGCAAATCCAAAATTGAAGTTAGTACAAAACATTCAGTTCAATGAAAGCTGCAGTTCAGAGCAGTCTTACCACAGCTATGTTGACTCTTGAAATCACATGAAATGTACAAAGAAACACAAGGTTATAAAAAAATGCAATCTAAAAGATAAAAATCTCCTGATAGTCTGCTGCTTTGTTTGATTCAATATGAAATTTTAAGATCTGATTGTAAAAGACAAACTCAGTAATTTAATGACTTGAAATTAGGTCCTCACCTTTGTTTTCAGTCAAACCTTCTTCCTCACCCAGTCCTGTCCTCCATTCTTTTCTTCCAAAGACACAGTGAAAGAGGAAAAGAGTTTCTCACAGATGTGCAGATACTCCCCAGAGCCAGGTCAATCCCCTTGCATGACAGAGGCCTTGCAGTGGAAAGAGAAACCAGAACAAAGAAATATAAATATAGGGAAGGTTGTGGTCATGGCAGATAAAACACATGAAGGGAATACAAGCTTCTCAAGAAATCTTATTTGGGCTGCGAATGGAGGAGGTCAGAGTGACCTCCCCAGCCCTGCAGCAGCTTGAACAGCCATGCCAATCCAAGAAGAGAAACTTGCTATTGTTATGAACAGAAAGGAAACCAAGGGACCATTTATGTAATGCGGCAGCTCTTCTGTTTTGCTGCAATGCAATAATTGCTTACCTCTTTCTGAAGAATGGCACACAATGCAGACCAAAGAGAAAAATATATGCGATGACTGTCTTGAAACCACAGCTTTATGCATTTTAATATAAGTTTATGAGAGCTTAAAACTATGGCCCTTACTCACACTGTAATCATTTACCTACAAGACTATTTTTCCATGGGCTTGCCTGTGGCAACATGAACACCATGACTGTAGCAGCTTTGTTTCTCCTGCCAATAACCCCAACACTTTCTAGTTAGCTGGGAATCAGCCATACCGCTCTGCAAATAGGGCACTGTATTTTAATTTGCTAGAAGTACCCATACTGAAATACCACAATTTCTCAAAGTTTCTGCAAGTCTATTCTGTGAGTTTATTATATTTTTTTTCTTTTATAGTCTTACATTTAAATAAAGTCCTCAGATTATTCTACTCCATTAGTCTCACGCTTCTCACTTTATCCCCTGTCTTCCTTCTGAATGTTGCACAGAAGAAAGCATTTGGAATTCAATCTTTAATTTTTTTATTTCCATAAACATTTTTCTTTTCTTTTTTTTTTTTTATTTTGCTGAACATGTCATTCCATTCCTTCCAACTGTGCTATTTCTACAGTTGCCAATATTCATGTTTTTCAACAAGGACATGGTTTCTGTACAAATATCCAAACACAGTTTCAATGATAATTATGTTTTCCTCTTGCCATTTCCCTTTTGGGGTTAAGGTGAGCATGTAAACCAGATGGTTTTGGCAAAAACAAATTTTTAAACTGATAACCTTGCAAAAGCTATTTCTGCATATCTTAGAAGCTGAAGGAAGATCCTGCATGATTTATAACAGCAGATACAGAACAACAAACAGAACACTATATAAGAAAACAGGCTATTGTTACCTTAATATCGTTATTTATTAATACTTATGCAATATTCAGTAGTGTTTCTCCATCTACTCAAAACAATAGCTCTAATTACTTGAACTGCTCCATAACTTATTTTTTTTTAGGCATGCATGACAATTCAATCTGATTATGTGATTCAAACAGGAGGAAAACATATAACTAGTCATTTCTTATGTCCTATTTATGCAAATATATTAAGCTAACCAGTAGACCCGCTATTTATAGCCAATACCTTAATCTTGCAAGTAAGAAGGTAGTAAAAATGCTAGGAAATGCTTGTTAAGTCAGATGAGAGCATCAGCTGTTTAAAACAGCTTACTTAGCTCAATGAAACAAATTATATGTAGTGTTCCTCCTGTTCTGATCCATGCTAAAATAAATTAGCTTTTTACATGGGGCTGTGTAGAGAACGCATTTAAGTACAAGGAAAAACACTGCTTTTTAAAGGATTGTAGTAATCTTTTTCTCTGTGCCCAGGGATCAAAAAAGAAAGGATTAAAATATTCTCAGTATTCCCCTTCACAGAGAAAAGTGTGGAAACACTGCAAATGACAGCAGTCCGACACAGGCCCCTAAAGCACTGTTTTGGTTTTGGCCAATGATTTTTTCCCCTCATTTTTTCTCTAGCACAGTGCTGCCTCTTGCTCAAGCCACTTGTAGGATTTGATTATATTCTTTTGGACTGTTTAAAGAATGAAGCAGTTTTTGTCAGTAATATAAAATTAAACTGTCATTTTCAGTAGTTTATAATTTCAGGTGTTAATTATATACATAATAGTGGTCATGAAAGAAATCTGTAGAAATAACAAAGGGTCAAATTTAAAAGCAATAATAAATATTATTTTTACATTCTAGGAAAAACTCCACCCCAGCAATACATATAATCCAATTATTAAAGAAACTAAGATTAAAGAAGTTTCTTGAGAAAAATAAAAGGTCTCCTATGATAAGCAGTTCTTACCTAATCAAAATTCTTCTTCCAAGTCTTGCAAAATGTAGGAAATCCAAACGCTATGTGCTGATGTTGCCAGAGGACAATCAAAGGTTGTCATATAATTCTCCCTTCATTCCCATTACAGAAATTGCACCGGTACCCCTAGGTAAAGTTTGTCTATTCTGATCTCTGCCAATTGAAGGGGCTCCTGCAACCTGCCTAAGAGGATTAAAAACCCTTGATCTAATTCGTATCATGTGTTCTTATACCCAGAAAGATCCAATTCTTGCCTTGAACATCAAAACCATTAAAGAGAAGTGGCCTCAAAGGGCAAACAGCCATGCAGACCAGGACAAAATTTTTTAAAATTTCAGAAAATAATCAGAGAGCCAGCTATCAAAAGGGGAACTTGCTGGGATAAGGAAGGGGTAGGGGATGAGGAGAAGAATTAATTTTTAACCATCATTTAATACATTTCTAATTTGCACTCAAAACCTGACTGCATTCAAACTACTCTTATTCTGTTAGGGATTCAGGACAGCTCTGCCCAAAGAAGCCAAGAAGCACACCTTAACCTGTAAGCAGATGAAAACAAAGGGCTACCTGTCCAAAGGGGCTACCTGTCCCTTATTTCTGACAATGTCTCATTTAATTTGTAGAATTATAGAATAGTTAGGGTTGGAAAGGACCGTAAGACCATCTAGTTCCAACCCCCTGCCATGGGCACAGATCCCTCATCATAAACCATGTCGCTCAAGGCTCTGTTCAACCTGACCTTGAACACTGTCAGGGATGGAACTTCTACCAGTCCTCTGGGCAACCTTTTCCAGTGCCTCACCACCCTCACAGTAATGCACTTCTTCCTTTTATCTAACTTACACTTCCCCTGTTTAAGTTTAAACCCATTAACCCTTGTCCTACCACTACAACCCCTGATGAAGAGTTCTTCTCCAGCATACTTGTAGGCCACCTTCAGATACCAGAAGGTTGCTATAAGGTCACCACACAGTCTTGTCTTTTCCAGAATAGATATAGGACTGCATAGTTTGATAAATATTCCAGAATATCTGTCCCTTCTTCTCTGTTTTCACAGTTTATACAAATGAGGCATGGAACAGTTTCCCAATAACTAACAGCATAACAGACTTAAAGGCTTCAAGTTCTACTTTCTACCCTTCAGAAAAGATGAACTGTCGCCTTACTTTTATGACCCCAGAGAATGGGATGATTAACTCAGTCAAAATGTGTTTTATCAGGTGAGTCTTGGTAGCTGTAGCAACAAGAGTTATTTAGGACCATCTGAAAGTAACATAATGGAACAATAAAATTCGGTATTTTGTCTGGTGTGTTACTTTAAACAGGATGAATGAAAGACTCATGAAGGGGTCAAAACACTTTATTTTTTTTTGTGTAGCTGCATATTTGTCTTCGCCCATCAGGTTCCTCTCTCTCAGTATGGTGATGGTCCAGATCTGAATGACAGTCCCTCATAGTCTGTTTTTCAGCCTTATCTGGTTTGAAGATTACAGAAATACATGGATAATTCACATTTTAAAATAAGCATTTCAAATATAATATTTATATAAATGTAATATACATAAAACAGTTTTATGCCTTCCTCTTTTTATACTGCATTTTACAATTTTCAAGCATTTATGAAGCCAGAGTGCACAGTACGAAAAAAAGAATATACATTCAAGGCATTAGATTTCATCATTACTCACCCCCATTGAAAGCCCAGACAAATTTGTTTCACTAGTTCAGAAGTATGGTATTCTGCTAAATATAACTTGGTGAGTTGATTCAGTTGGGAAGAGACACCATTATGAAATTTATTGCACAATTTTGTATTCCTCCTCAAATACAGGATGTCTTTGAATGGAGCTCAAAGATTCAATCAAATAAATCAGATTAATCCCTTTTGAAAGGCAGCTCAAGGGGAAAGAGTAACAGTTCTTTATGTCGTGCATTGACACATGTCTGAGCAGTAGGATGGTCAAGAGGCCTGTGAAGCTTGACTGGCATTAATTAATTCACTGTCTGTATTAAGTTTTCACTTCCAAATCCACAAACATGATGGGAAGACTTGGATTTACTACAAAAATGTGGTATGAACACATTGCTTCAATACACATATTCAGAACCCTATATGTATTCAGAACCCTACATACAAAGAGATCTGCTAGTACACAGAACAACACTATGCATATTGCAACAGTTTTTAATACACTGATTTAAAGTCTTTTAGATTTGATTGGTAAGAAACAGGATTAAAAAAGGCCAAAGAGAATATAATCAGTGGCAGAAGTTTTAGTGTATATATATGTGTGTATATATATGTATTCCCTTTACTTGTTCTAAAATCAGTTGATTCTGCAGCAATAAACAAAGCAACTAACATTAGCTCTCCAAGTAACAATCAGGCACTTATAATAGCTACTCTCATGAGGAAAGATGCCAGGCAATGTGTAAAGCCATCCAGATTTTCCCCCCAAACTAAGGAATGTTCACTCAATCCAGTCAAAATTAACTAAACTAGTACAAAAAAATATCCACAGTGTATTAAATATAGCTTTTCCTGATACTGACAGATCAACTTTTTGGGTTGAAACACTTTTAGTCTGTATTTCTAAAGCATTTTCTAACATTTTCTGTATTTTCTTTACTGAATATCTAGGGGTGTTCCAGAAAGAACCCTAAAGTTTTTGAGAGGAGTCTAAATAGCAGCCAAATATACTATAATATCTCAAGTTATAGTACCTCAGTAAAACATTTTTCACTTGGAGTGTAAACCTGGTTTCTTTCAAGGGCTGATTTCAAATAGCAGTGTTCACCCCAACCAGTTAAAGAAATGGCTTTTTAAAAAGCTTTTTTTTTTTTTTTTTTTAAAAGTATAGCATGAGAAATTAGAGTTCTGAAAGAGTAGAAAGTAGTCAGGAAAATACCAAGACATGAGTCATGACTCATTGATTGTTAAGTCTAGAAATCTGGTAAGCATGATCACATGGAACAATTGACCACAATAGCTGTTAGTAAGTTTTCAGAAATCACACATCTCTCTATCCATTTTTTCCAGTTCATTATAGGAGCAATTGTACTTCAAGACCAATTGCCATCACTGGACCAAAGAACAAGAATATATGTAGCAGCTCAAGGAAGGTGCTATCTTTGAATCTCATAAAAAAATCTTTCGTTTTGGTAAAATATGATGTCAAGGGCTGTAAGAATTAGCTACACCCACAAAATCAGATATAATCATGTGTGTTCATGGAGAAGATTGATCCAATTAGTATCTCTTCTGACTGGATTTCAAAATGACCTGCTGTGTATGTGGAAGTCATTTGCTCAAGTCAGGAGGTTCTGACTACTCCTGGAAGAGACAGTTGTGGCTAGAAAATAAAAAATAAAAAGAAATAAATTAAAAAAAATAAAAATTGAGCATTTCCTTGACTATCTATGATGTTGCATGTGATCCTGAGAATGTCTGCTTGTCCAAGAGTCAAGACTGGGTTTTAGATGCTAGGATTGTGAATTTGTTTCTGACCTGAAATTTATTACATTTCCCATTCCTATAGCAAAAGTATACACTTGAATCAATTTTTCTTTTGCTGCTATTCAGCTCAGGTCTCCCTTGATGCCTGAAGTATGAAACAAGCAAGTGTGAGAAACTTCACTTCTCTGTATGATAGATACCACCAAAATCAGTTCAGTTGTTTTCAGTCTAAGTAGGTCCAGTCATTGATTAACAAGTTCTGCCATAATAATCAAGGAATTATTTCCTTTCTGTAATTTAAACATGCAATACCTTGTTTGCTTTTCTGACCAGCACTAAACCAGGCAAAAAACCTTGTTTGCACCCAGAACTGTTGTATTGTTTTCCCTTTCCAAATTCATTAACTGTTTGATAACATTAATAATGCATCTGCATGTTTTATCTTTTATCTTTTATCCTTCTACCATTTCACATAGCTCTTCAAGTTCCTTCCAACAACTTTTGCTATTCAACCAAGTAAATCTGAATCATCTTATCTGCCTATTTTTACTCATATTGTTTAGCACTCTGCCTTAGCTCATCAAAACGCATTTAAACCAAGCCACTCCTGAACAAAACTGGAGGCTCTCTGAGAAATGCTCACCATGTAGAAAAATTATCACTCCATTCCTAACTTGCTTTTTTAGTAGTTTCTTAATCAATATTTTTCTTTAACCATCTTAGACATATTGCACTGAAGACGAGGAAGCTTGGTTAAATACAACAAACAAATGCAGCAGAAAAAACCCAAAACAAAACCAAAACCCACAAAACAATTTCAAGTATTCAAAGCATGGACTGGTTACACAAAATCTATTATCTTTCTTAAAAAAAAAAAAAATACTAAATTCATAATTAACTAAAATGGATAAATAAGGAGACTTGACTCTCATGTTAATATTTTCTATTAATAAGCTGAAATAAGGGTTTTTCATAGAAAAAAAATAAATATTTTAATGAAAATAACTGTGTTTAATATTCTTATGAAATAAATGAGATTCTTTGCTCTTTCAGAATGTAGCCCAAATGAAATTTTTTAAGGATAAGAATGATAAATTACTTTAAATGAAGCATTGTACAACCATGAACTACCACAGAAAAAGAAAATTGCTTTGATTGGATTTACATACACTGGGCATCTGCATTCAAATAAAGATTCAGAACTTCTATTCACACATTATACTCTGAAATAAGACTAAAATCTTCTGAGTTTCAGTAATAGCTGTCATATTTGTGCTTCCAATTTACATGACTTTGCATTATTTTGAATAATTTTTTTAAATTAAAGTTTTGAGATACATATTCCTAGCTTTCCATTTTTCAACACTTGCATAAAATTTTTCTTCTTCCCATTCTCAGAAGTATAATTCCTGGTATTGTGGCAATTATTTTGTTCCAGATGCAATAGTCGTCCTTTTTTAGGTTTTCATATTGCAAATAGCCCTAAACACTACCTATGTATCGCTTGGGTTAATTCCTGGTTTGGTTTTGTTCTTTTTGGTTTCTTTTTTGATTTGTTTTTTTTGTTTTTTGTTTTTTTTAATTTGTTTGTTTTGTTTTTTTCCCTCTGCTTTTTTAATTATTACAATATTTAGATCTTTCTTAGCCTTTATTTCATTATAGTTTAAGAAAAATACATTAATTATATGTCCAGGCCAAGCTTTTGAAGATAAATATGACACTCCCTCTGTTCTCTAAAGTTGACACCATATTCTTCCCCAGTATTAAATGTTTTACCCAAAGCTGTTTTGAAGTCTCTGAACTGAAAATGAAAAATTGCAGGAAAAGCTTTTGTACAGAGAATTTAACCCTTATTTTCTGAACAGATCAGATTACCTGCCCAGAAAGTAATGTTAAATAATAATAACCCTGATATCAGCTGATACTTACATTAAACACTGAAGATTTAGCTGGAGAGGGTGCTGGGCCATCTAGCCTAGGCCATGCTTTGCCGAGAAAGGATGGACCGGATGATCCTTGAGGTCCCTTCGAACACTATATTCTATGATTCTATGACATGTTGGGTGATGTACATAGAGTCCAAAAAAAACCACCAGCATTTTTTCATAAAGCTTGATTCATGCCCAGTCATCAACATCTATATTAATTCATTATTTTCTTTGTTCTCTTATGGCACTTTCAAAGGTTAGAGCTTCATAGCCTGTAGAAAAAGCTGAAACACATCAAAGCCAGAAACTTATCATTTATGTACCACCATTTAGGATATAAAAGTACGTATTATTTATTCAAATACAGAAATCATACGTTAAATATGCATGAACGTAAAATGGAGGTTAAGACAATTTTCCTGCTATTCCTGTGGAAGTGGTTTTGGTCTCTTCCACTTTCAGTGGTTTTCATGAGTCATATATATATTTCACAGTAGCCAGAAGCTTGGAGGAGTCCCTCCTATTTGCTGCTTCTTATCCAGCTACTTTAACAGCGAGATCAAGCTTTATTGTCTCTTGAAACATAGGTCAGAGTTTTGGGTGAATTTCTGAAATATTTAAAAAAGACTTACAATTATGATTAGTAGTACAGTACAATATTCAGTAAAAGTTTTCTTCTCCAAGTCCTTGAGAGGTAAGTTTGATAAAAAAAAATAAACTTAATTGAAAAGCTTCCTTTGCAAAATGAACACCTTCTCATGCTACAAGTATTTTTAAAGGCTTGCAGAGGGAAAATAAAAAGCAGGCTGAGAGTAAATGCAACACTATATACATTTTTTTACTTAATAGTTGTAAGTTTTTGACCACACGTCTCATACAGAGGGAAGTGAAATTACCTATCTTTCTAACAAAAATAAGAAAGAATTTTACAATGCAAAATCAGATAAAATAGCTAAAATAGCAATGGCAGTTGCAAAAAATAAGTTACACATATGCGTGCACACACACAAATCCAAGTTGGATAGACAAGTAAAAGCATTCCAAGAATATTATGGAGTAACTTGAACATTTATGTGCCACAAATACAGCACTGTAAATCTTTTTTTTATAGAATGGATATTTATGGACTGTAGGAAGGAACAAACTTTTCTACAGTTTTATACAATCTCTGAACATTGCAACACATTGCACTTTTCACAGATGTGAAGACCAAATTCACACCTAATGTTGATTGATATATATAAACTATTTTTATGGGAGAGCAGTAGCTGGTGTTTCCTGCTCACGAAAAAGGGGAGAGAAGGCTAGCAAGATACAACAAATTACAAGAGATAGAAGTACATTAATCAAGGCAGGCAGCAGTACACTGACTGACAAATACAAGGTATGTATGCTACTACAATCACAGCACCAGAAACCTCTAAAATATAAAGTGGAAAGTTGCTGTCTTATGGAATATGACAAAGATAGCACTGGCAAAACTTGAAAGTTTAGAAATAATCAACTAGAAAAGCAGTAGTGAAACCAAGTACAGAAGGAAATGTTGATATCTAAAGTGGCAAGTGCAGGAAAAAGTGGGATTGGTATTTGCTGATAAAGTAGAAAAAAAATAATCAATTTCAACATCAGCTGTCTTGTAGGAGTAACTCACCTTTATATTATCTTTTTGTCAGAGGCATCATGTGGAATCAGAGCACCAGTCTGAAAGACACCAACAGAGATATACACACTGAGAAATGGATGAGCAAAGACAACAGGGAGTTACTGGAAAGTCACGTAGCAGAAAGACACTTCATAATTATATTAGAAGAAATCTTTTTCATCCCACTGTGTCATTTTTGTTCCCTTCTGGATAGTTAACCTGAATCCCTACACTCTCTTCCTTCAGAAAAATTCTCAGGAGAGATCTGTTGCAAATTAGGTGAAGACCTCTTCCTTTAGAGTCAATATTAACTCTGTTTGCAGGAAGATCGCGTAAAATCCCAGTATTATTAGTGTCAGTTGCTTACACCATGAATCCTGAAATATGAAACTGTACAGGTCAGCTATATCACCGGTACAAAGAAGCTCATGCCTGGGCCATTTCAAGCTCCCTGCTCTATTACTAACACACACAGTCGTGCATCATTTCAGCCTTCATGCTATGCTTGCTTTTTAAGAGATTCAAAAGCATGTGCTCAGTTGCATGTCATCAGTTGAAATAAGAATTGAAGGCATTCCAAAATACATGTCTGACTAAGTTGTCTCAGTGGAAAATGTCAGTGCAGCGTGTACAAAGCAAAAAAGACAATTAGGTCTTGGGAAGACAATGTCAACATGAGTAGTTAATCCACAATGTCCAGAATCCCACCCATGTGTAGCACATGTATTTACTCTAGAGAAGAAACAGTTGCCCCACTGAAACCAAGAACAGAAATTTCCTAAAATTCAATAGGGTGCAAATTTTCTCAGTAATTGCTGAGAAAATTTGTGTTTTGTAATATCTAAGGAAAGCACATACTACATATGTGAGTTTATACAGATAATTCTGATCTTGAAAACAGGAAGTCTTTTTATTGAATTACTACTTATGTCATTTCCAATGCCATACCTGCACAAAACTTCCTCGGCTGCTTCCATTTCAGAACAAAAATGTAGTTACTTTAAGACACCAACCTCTACTACTTGTATGTGAAAGATTGCTCAGTGTATAGTCATCAATTTCATTAATCATAAATAATTTACAGAATGAAAGTCAGGTAGTGTTTTCTATTGTCTTTCAAGCATTCACTTATTGTTGCTAATCATCAATAAGTAGGGTTTTTTTGTTGTTTTTTTTTATTATGACCTCAAAACTTGTCCTGCAAGACCAATTTGTTGTTTGCTATTAATTACTTGCTGTTTGTCAGAGCAAAGCCCCATGTCCTGAGAGGAGCACTTGTGTGCTCCTGGTGCTTTGCAGACACTTTCCCTTCTTATTTTGATGCACTTCAAAACTTGGTGTAAACAGCAATACCTGGCAAAATTAGATTTCATGGTCCAGTTGTCGAAGGAATAACAGCAATCTATTTGACAAATGCAAAGACCTGCCAGTGGGGGAATTACCGGTGACTGTCATAGATGACAAGTGTTAATTAATGGCTTTTTTATTCTGACAGAACTGCCATACTCAGTTGACCCTTTACTTATCAGTTTTCAAGAAAACCCTTTTCCATCCTAGTAGGTCATTCCTACAGACCAAGAAGGAGCTGAAGTCTGGGATTCCCACTTCCAGCCTCAATAGCTGCAGCTTCAAAGAGAAATTAAAACAAAACAAAACAACTGGAAAAAAAAAAAACAAAAAAGAGAAATTAAAACAAAACAAAACAACTGAAAAAAAAAAACAAAAACAAAAAAACAACCCCCCTCACCCCTCCAAAAGCTATTCAATACACCTTTATAAAACCTGCTGTCAGCAAAGCAGAATTGAAAAGAGATGTACAATGGGATGTGCAAGAGCTCAAAGGACAAAGAACAATGCAATTACATTTTAAGGGTGTGCTGAACATCCTGCCTTAGAGCACCAACTAAATGCAGCATCAGTGTCTCCCAGTCAAGCCCAGAGAGATGATTGATAGATGAAAATAATGTCCTCGTTGCTATGGCAGCTTTCCTATCAACCTGCTGATCAATGCAGGGAGTCCGATTTCCCCAAGCTGTTAATCTTGTCAGAAGTGTTAACATCCCTCAGGTTTGGCAGCATTTCACCTACTATAGCTTTTTAATGGCATCTAAGTTATACTGACATGTTATATTAAGTAGCTGCACCTATGTGGGTTATACAGCCTTCCTGTAAGAAACAATCACTCTCACATGCATACTCCTGTAATATAAGTGGGATTAATTCTAGGAATGACCTAAGATCAACTTCCACATTATGAAATTACAGCTGTGTACTTTGCATCATACATTTTATACTGGTCCTAAAGCATCACAGGCTGGCACTTACTAAAGGGGTCTAATTCCCAAGCAAAGTCCAACTGAACTGATCTGCGGTTTAGAGGAGCTAAATGCTCCATGCTGGCTTGTACAGGATGCTCTTAATGACTAAATAACAGCACACAAGAGAGCTACAGAAAAGGCAGATAGCAAAGGGCTGCCATAATCAATGGTATTAAATATACCAGGGAAAACTTTGGACAAAATCAATAACATTCTGTCTTGGGTTCAGCAGTAGCAGTCATGTTTCTCCTTTGTGGTAGCTGGTGCAGTGCAGTGTTTTGACTTCCAGCCTGGGAATAGTGCTGCTGATACCGATGTTTTCAGTTGTTGCTAAGTGATGTTTACCCTGACCAAGGACTTTGTGAGGCTCATGCTCTGCCAGGGAGGAGGGGAAGCCAAGAGGAAGCACAGACAGGACGCCTGACCCAAGCTAGCCAGGGAGGTATTCCATACCACAGCACGTCATGCCCAGGGTGGGGGGTAACTGGGAGTTACACGGAAGGACACGGGCTTCCGGGTGGGACTCGTTTCTTGGCAGGTGATATCATATTCTCTTCCCTTGTTTTTGTTGTCACTGGTGGTAGCGGTGGTGATTTGTGTTGTGCATTGGTTGCTGGACTGTTCTTGTCTCAACCCGTGGGAGTTGCACTCTTTCGATCCTCCTCCCTGTTCCTCCGGGAGTGGGGAAGGGGAGAACCCCGGGGTGGGGGGGAGGGGGGCCCTCGATTGCTCTCAGCCTGGCACCACTCACCGGGAGTGAGTGAACAAGCTGTCTGGCTAGGGTTTAAACCACGACACATTCCTATTAATTTGATAATGCTGTTTGTAGCTAGATAATTAAAGCCTTAGAAATGTTTGTATGACCAAAGGCTTTATTTTCAAAGCTACTGGGTAGTTTGAAGATACCTGTTAGTTGTCTAATGAGATTTCCCATAGAGTTTCGACATCATTTAGATGCATGATTCAATTTCTTTTATAATCACAGAATCCTAGAATATTTTGGGTCGGAAGGGATGTTAAAGATCATCCAGTTCCAACCTTCCTGCCATGATCAGGGACACCTTCCACTAGATGAGGTTGCTCATGGCTCCATCCAACCTGGCCTTGAACACTTCCAGGGATAGGGCATCCACAACACCTCTGGGCATCCTGTTCCAGTGTCTCATCACCCTCACAGTAAAACATTATGAAGGTCCCGGGTTTCTGACTTTGTTTCATGTGAAACCCAACTTGGTAGTCACTGGTCCAACAGATATTTACAAATTGCATCTACTGGTCAAAATAAATTATTGTGAATTATATCCACCACATTTAGAATCAGTTCAAAAGTTTTTTTTTCCTTTAGAGCCCAAGAGATCAAGTTGTACACTCTCATTTTCATTTCAAGAGGCATATATTACCTGGGCATGATCAGATGAACTTCCAGCAAAGTTATTCAAGTTCTCAAGTAGTTCCCTGTGTAATCTTAGCATACAGTTTACACATATATGTATTTATGTAGGTGATGCTTATCTATAGAAATACCATACATAACATAGACCCCGAAACTGCATTTTGCAACGTATTTCTGAAACAATACCAGTCATGCTATTTAGTACTAACTCAGCATTCAAAATGCATATTTCACCTTTTAAAAGTTTCTCCAGAAACACTTCTATGAATATATCAAGTTTCTAAGCTATGAATAAAGCAATGTCAAATGCTTGATTTAACCCCTTTTACACTGTCACTTGCAGTACAGAAAATGAATGAAGCCTAAGGTCTTTCCCTGTTAAGTGATAGCTTTAATTACCTTTTAAAAGCAGTTGAATAGCATAAAGGAAAAATAAACTTGGAGAACTAAGAATAGACATATAAATTAACGGGGGGGGGGGGGGAGGAACATTTCTTTAGGAAAAAACATGAAAGGAAAGTTTTCAGCTTTTAAAAAAAAGGTAACTTTTTGAATAGGTTTTCAAGAAAATATAAAAATAGATTTTTGTTCATAATTTCAGAAAATAATTGTCATTAGCATACACAATGGTGTGAACGCCTACCAAGCACTGACTGAGCATCCTGAACATGGGGCAGCATCACTCTCCCCTATGCACTGAACAAACACATCTTCAGTCCCTCTGTGACCAAAATTACAGTAGCAGATAATTCAAAGGCAAAGTTCAAATGAAAAAATAGAAAAACTGCAGTTGGTTTTGACAAGTGCACATCCTTCACAAGTCAACACTTGCAGTGGATGTTACAGTATGAATGAATAAAGTCAGCAGAGGAGCCTTAAGCCCATGGAGAACATGAAGCAACAAAGATAACAAGGTGTTCTTTCTGTTAGCAAGATACCGTTAAATAGAAAGATTTTTCATGGTAATAAAAAAATAAGGAAAAATAGATGCAGCCTCAAAACTGTTGCCAAAATGAGCAATTTTTCTCAAGCAAAACTAGATAAAGGCAAGCTTGTAAGTGAAGACTCACACAACGAGCCTAAATAGGAAAGACAACAACAGAATGAAAGAAAACAAGGAGATTAGCTTAGAAAAATAATAGACGAGAAAATAAACCAGATATAACAACTCTCTTGGGAAAAGAGTATAAAATCAGAATAAGAGGAAGTGCCTTACCAAGCACAAACAAAAAATGATGTATGAAGTTAAAAAAAAAAACACCAAACAACAAAACAGGACTCCAAATGTGGAAATATTAGACAGCTCCAAATAGCCACGCAGTCAAATTCCAAGAGGTGCTTAAAAAGAAAAATGTTATTTTCACAGAATATGTACAGGAACAAAATACATCCCTTTACTGCAAAAGTAGTTAGCCAGTTCCTCTGTCCTTCACCAAACTTTTCAAAGGGGATTTGAATGTACAGTTTTACTTTCCAAATGCTATTATTTGGTCTTTGTTCTCATCAATATCATTAGTCACAAGGCTTTTTTAGTTTTCCTCTACAATGGCATTTTATGAGTCAGCCAACTGAGTGGCCCAGAGATACCTGACATGATCAGAAAGCACATCCCAGGCTCAGAAATAACAAAGCAGACTACAATTATGTGTGCATGGACAGACATTATGTTCTATCCTTTGTAATGGTATTAGAAGATTGACTTAATATTTAAGAACAGGTAATTTCTTCTTGTCTGAAAAAATTATGAAAGTTGGCTTCTTGATGTGAAAGCTTGAAGGTCTAAATCTAACATCTATTGAAATCAATAGGGTTAAAAAAAAGGTAAGTGGCAATTTTTGTGTTGATTTCTGAGACCTGTGAATCACTTTCCAACACATTAATCATAAAGCACAAATAGAAGTGAGATTTCTTTGTTGCATTTATATTCTTTATGGAAAAAGTTTTACAAAAGCCAAACAACAGGCTTACCATTAACATAAAGTTAACCTTACAAATATCCTTCTCTTTCATCCTAACCAGATATGTGTAAAAAGATGGCTCATAAAATAGTAGAGCTGGCAAAATAGACACCACTGAAATTTGTGCCGATCTTCATATCTTGAGCAAATTTTTGTTTTAGTCAATGATATATCTGAAAGACTTTCACAGAGTAGTGTATCCACACACAAAATTAAAAAAAAAAAAAACACACCAAAAAAACAAAAAACAAACAAACAAAAAAAAATAAAAAAAAAACAGAAATGATCTCAGCTGCAAGTTCAGGAAAGTGCTGTCCTAAGAGTTAAATTTGAACAAGACAAAAGAAATGGTTGAAATTCCTTTATTCAATGACTACAGGATACCTACACCACATGTTCACTCAGAGTTGCAAGTGAGAAATGGCAGCTGCAAAGACTGGCAGTTGATTGGCATTC